TAACTAAATATGAAAAACAAGATCCAAATTTGTATTATAGTTAAACATAAAATCAAATACAACAGAGAAAGTGATAGAAGAGAAATCACCTTATTACATGAGTTTCAAACTCTCCATCTTTACTCTTCAAATCTTGTTCCAAATCTAACTGCAAATACATGATGGATAAACTATAACTATAGTAATATACCCTAACTAATGAACTAAGAAAATTCTAGTGAAAACTACATTTTTGGTGAGTTTCTCTAGCCTTTCAAATTTGTTAAAATGCTCTACAAAGGCTACTATTTATAGAGGATTCAAGAGCCAAATGAGTTGTTTCTAATTGTCATTTTTGTTTCTTGAAACTTCCAAGAGTTGGTTCTCCAACTTTCCACACTCTTCTTGGTCAGATACAACCAAAATTACTTGCTAGAATTGAGCTTGAAAGTTGTGTGAATAAAGAAAAAGTTGCAGCTGAAAGTGATGGATACACGACCTTGAAAACGCGAACTTGAGTCGCATATTGCACCCCACATATTGCTTTTGTAGGCTTGCACTTTCTGGGTGGAATTCATCCTTGCTTTGATTTTGGTCCTATTCAACTGATATTTTATCAATGATGAAAGCTGCTCCAGCTTTTGTACAAAACATAAAAGTTGTATCCCTTTGAGTTAGATTTTCAATGCATCAAGAATCATCCAATTTGGAGCTCTGTGGATCAATAAATGACCAAAATATCCTCAACTGGTCAGAACTCTATTTCAGTTTTCAATAATGAAATTGTACTTCTGTATTTCGACTTTTTGATTAGAAAAATGACTGAATTGGACTTTGATGTCTTCATACCAAATGTATATCTATCTCTTAACTTCAAAATGGTATAATAATCATCTCAACCCAGTTCTTGTAGTTCAAGATATAGCTAAAATACCACATGATGTCAAAGCTGTCCAATTTGCATTTCATCCTTTGAGTATTTTGCACTTCATGTCTTCCTTAAATCACTTTAAGTCATCAATAATCATCTAATTATCTCCTCAATTTACTCCAATTAATGATTGAATCATTAATCCTACAAAAATATGAAGTTTTTACCATTAAAATCCATAGAAATGTAATTTTTACACTTTAAACTACAAAATACATATTTTCACTAGAAACTTAGTTAATTAGTATTAAAACTAAATAAAACATACCAAAACTAATAATAAAACACATTTAAAACATGTAAAATATGCACTTATCAATTTGTTCATATGATTACATGTAAGTTTTTGTCGTGTTTTTAGCGGTTCGTACCCAGGTGATAAGTGACTAATTTACGTAATAATTGTATGATATTTTATATTAGTTTTAGTCACTTTGGTTACATTATTGGAAGAAAATGATTCATTTTGGCTATAATTGGTGTAAAATACTTTTGTTCAATTAAATGAGGTTTTTATCTCTTTTTACTTGGATTTTGTGCATTTTGACAGTTTTGATACATTTTCGTATTTTGGCTATAACTTGAGCTCCAATGATCGGATTGAGATGATTTTTAAACCAATTTGAAGATAAGAGATAGATCTACAGTTTTGGTGAAGACATATGAATCCAATTTGAAGGTTTTTTAGGTCAAAAAGCCGAATTACAGTAGCTAATTTCTATTGGTTGAAGCTGAAACAGGGCAGTGAGTAGTCAAGGGTATTTCGGTTATTTTTCAACCTACACAGATCCAAATGAGGTGATTCTTGATGCATTGGAAAGCTAACTTAAGGGTTACAAGTTTTATATTTTGGTCAAGACTAAATCAGTTTTTATCATCAAGAAAAGTTTAGTTGAAGTTGACACAAAATCAGAGCGGAGCTGGAAATTGAAAAAAAGTGCACCAAAAAGTCACTGTAGCAATTTGGCAGGAACTTGGCCGGATTTGTGGCCGGATTGTGGTCAGAGAAGCCTGCTCTTTACGTAAAAAACTCAATTTCACCTCCACTAAGTCACATGTAATGCTAGACATGTGAGAAACATTACCAGCTGTAAAAGGGAAATGTACGTCTCATTTTCTTGACTTCCTTTGTCTTGAAATAGCCAAATCTTGCAAGAGAATAGGGAGACATACAGGAGAACTTGGAGAGTGTAGAAATGTAGCTCTTTCATCTTCTGAGTGTTAGGTTAGCATTAGTGTAGACTAGTATAGTTCATCCATTCTTGAATGTTAACTAGATTAGGATGAAGATGGAGATGAAGAAGGAGGAGTTGAAACTCAAGTGACATGGGTTATCTCTTCTCCAATTCCTTAACTTTTGTATCAGATTCTTAAGTATAGTTATTATGCAAATTCTGGATTTTGTGTTCAATATGTGTCTCTAAAGTTTATGTCTTGAGTTTGGTTGAACTTTCTATAATTGTTAGTGTTTATTATTTGGTTATTTGATTGCTATGATTTGAGCAAATTATTTAGGACTTTGGCTCTTTAAATCATGATTAATCTGGTACCATTGATTGTGATTATCTAAGGTATTGTTTCTGCAATGAAAATTGAGATTTAACACTAGTTCAAGAAGTGTTCAACATAGGGAGTACACTCACAAAAATAGAGGTGCACCTATGTGGTTTTTAGTGATTCATTTCATATAATTTCACTGAAGAAATGAACTTGTAGCTAATTTCATAACCATGAGAAGTTGGGGATATAGCACTTGCATGAGTAGTTGGGGATACCACAACCTAATGAGCTTTTATTTGTTATTTTGTATAATTTTAGTAGGTTAAATTTGTTATAATTCATTGATAGTCTAACTAATAGAGAAGCTTTAGTAATACCAATAATTGTTCACTCTTCCCTGTGGGATTGACCCGATATATATCCTAAACTACTAGTTGACCTATATACTTGCAGTGAACGGGTGTAATTCGATTTTTTAACTTGCATGTATGTAAAATACCCGTCACCAGGTTTACGCCCTTTTTGGTAGAAAATTGCTTCAAGTGTTACTTAGTAAACTAAATGTGCAAAATGAGTGGATTAATGCATAAATATGTGATATTTTGTAGCTTATTAGTGAATGAAACACTTGCTTAAGTTGAAGAAGAAGCAATGTACTTCTTGGAGGATAACGTATAAGTGAAACAAGAAGAGAAAGTTGCATGAAAAAGTAAAAGAATGGAAGATGAAAGTAGGGGAGATGGATCTGAACTCAGATCCATTTCCAAACCTACACATCCGAGACCTCGTCTGGGAATTTGGTGGAGTGGATCCGAGAGCAAGGGATCCATGCTCGGATCCATATGAAATAGGCCTTGGATCTTAGCTTGGATCTTGGAAAAAAAGCTAGATTCGAGCTCAGATCTGTATGATACATCTTGGATCTAAGGGCTCGGATCTTTCTCTTTCCTTTGCAATTTGTAGAATAACTTGTGTACATTTCACACTTACTTTTTGACTTTTGTTTCACAACAAATTTCGGTTGGAAAACTGGCAAAGCATCTTGTACACTTGAAGAAGAAATATTGATGATTTCAATGAAGGGCATTTTTGGAAGAAAAAGGAAGGAATCAAGTAGAAAAATACATTATTGAAGAGAGAAGAAAAATAGAAGTAAGGGGAGAAGACAAGAGAGATAAACTTTTCTTTCTTTTCTCTAACTTAGTTTAGTAATAGTTTTAGATCTAGTTTTCATTTCTATTGAAGAAATTGAAAAACTCTTGATATATCAATGTATTTTTTATGGCAATTAAGATGATGGAGCTTAAAGATCGTGTTTCTTCACTTGAATGAGCATTTCTTCCTCTTCACTCTCATTATTTGTTTTACTAATCCTTAGTTACATTAAAAACATGAGCTTTATTATCAAATCTACTATGTCTAGCTAAATTTTCTTGTTCTAGGGATAGATGAATCTATTTGTGCCTTGACTGTAGTTGAATAAAGTTGATTATTGCTATATGTCTTATACGTGCTGGTTCATATGTTCATGCTTTAATACTTGTGAATGCTTGATCACCATTTACAAGCAACCTTAGTTATTGTTAATCTATGAAAATAGTTGATAATAATGGAAAATGAATGAATGGAACCTAAGGAGTAGACACACTAAAGTAGTGGTGCACTTAGCTGGATGTTTATGGCATTACTTGTGCTTGATCTAGTTTAAACTTGAGATTTCACCATGAAAGTAAGGAAGCTCTAGTATAGGCTAAGTCTGGTTCATTGGCAAAATCGAGTTTCAATGACTTGAGTGAAATGCATCGTTAGCAAGATAAGAGAATGAGTGATAGTTAGCTAATTCATCCATGATTAGATACATTTAGTGGATTCTATACCCTAGAACATTTGAATTTAGTTGATTTAGTTCAAATTGTTAATTTGCATTGCATTACTTTAGCATTTTGTTTCATCAAACTAGCTAAAATTTTTGATAAGTTTAGATAATAGAGTGAGTAATTAGAAACCTTGGTAGTTGAAAGTGATTCCTCATGGGATCGATCCTAATTCCTGAGTATTACAAACTATGACCTATATACTTGCAGTGAACGAGAGATTTAGGTTGAAATTTAGAGTGTAGTTTTAGATCTTGTCAAGTTTTTGGCGTCGTTGCTAGGGAATCACAGCAATATTAAGGCTAAGTGAACTTCATTAGTCTAAACATTGTGTTAAATTGTGAATATCTTTTAGTTAGTTGATAGAGTAGTTTGTTTATTTTGCTTTACCTGGTTTGTGTGGTTTGTGGTAAAATTTTCTTCATTGTGATCTTTGCAGTACATGCACCGCGCTCTACGTGAAATGGTTCCGTTGGATCCCCAAATTGAAAGGACTCTAAGATAACAACGAAGGTAAGCACTACAGGAAGCTGTAGAGAATCAAGGTGAATGAGAAATAATAATTCAATTTCCACTAATCGAACCTATGGCTGAAGAGGTGAATAGAATAGTATTACGGGACTTCACTTTACCCAAAGGAGATGGTTTGCAAATGAGCATAGTAAGACCTATGGTAAATGCTAATAATTTTGATATTAAACCATCTCTTATACAAAATGGTGCAACAATCTCAATATGGAAGTAATGCAACGGAAGACCCAAATTCTCATTTGTCTACATTCTTAGAAATTTGTGATACAATTAAGTTTAACGGTGTTAGTGATGATGCAATTAAGGTTAAATTGTTCCCATTCTCATTAAGAGACAAGGCCAAAGTTTGGTTACAATCTCATTCTCCTAATACTTTCACTACTTGGGTTGATTTATCAAAAGCTCTTTTAAATAAATTCTTTCCACCTGGCAAGACCGCTAAATTTCGCATGGATACAACGAGTTTTTGTCAACAAGAAGCAGAGACATTGTACGAGGTTTGGGAGCATTATCGGGAGTTGCAACGAAAGTGCCCTCACCATGGTCTACCCGATTGGCTTATAATCCAAACATTCTACAATGGACTTACCTATCCTACGAAGACTCATATAGATGCTGTAGCAATTGGAGCTTTGATAGGTAAATTGATCGAGGAAGCTCAACAACTCATTGAGGAAATGGCGGAAAATAACTACCAATAAACCAATGAACAAGATAACACAAGGAGACCTGCAGGTATGCTTGAAGTGGATACATTGAATATGTTGAGTGCTAAAATGGATAATGTGGTAAAAATGCTTAATAAGCATGTTGTTGCTAGTTCTAGTTCTAATCAAGGAGTAAATGTCGTATGTTGTACTATATGTGGAGATGATCATGATGTATCCATTTGTGCAAGCATTGAGCAGGTTCAAATTGTTAACAATTACAACCGATAACCCCAAAACAATCCCTACTCCAATACTTACAATCCAAGGTGGTGGAATTATCCAAACTTTGGATAGCAAGAACAAGGGAACCAACAAAGGCCATTGAATCCACCTGGTTTTCAATATAAACAACCACCTGTGGAGACTAAACCAGCTTGGAAATTGGCTATAAAGAAATTAGTTAGCACAACTAGTAGCAACATCAACCAATTAGCTAAAGCCACATTTGAGGGATTTGAGAGAGTAGAAGGGAGATTGGACCAACTTACTATAATGTATAGGAATATAGAGGTCCAAATTGGCCAAATAGCCAACTCTTTAAATCCTAGGAATATGGAAGAGTTACTTAGTAAACCAGAGATCAATCCTAGAGAGAAAGTTAATGCCATTACACTTAGAAGTTGGAAACAATTGAAGGAGCCTAACCTTGATGTGTCTTGTGAGAATAAGAAAGAGAAAATGAGTAAGAAAAGAGAAATTAACAAGGAGAAAGATCATGTAGTAATTGACATAGATTTGCCAATTCCTAATGTTAATACTAATTCTTCTATTCCTTTTCCTCATAGACTAAAGCAAGAGAAGCAAGAAAGGGAGTTTGATAAGTTTTTTAAGATTTTCAATCAACTATATATTAATATTTCTCTCCTTGATGCTATTGTACAGATTCCTTCCTATGCTCGATTTTTGAGGGATATCATGTCCAAGAAAAGGAAGCTTGTGGATAATGAGATAATCACATTAAGAGAGAAATGTAGTGTGGTCAATCAAAACAAACTCTCTCCCAAATTAGAGGACCCCGGTAGTTTTTCTATACCTTGTACTATTGGTAATATTGAGTTTTTAAATGCTTTATGCTTTTTGGGTGCAAGTGTAACTTTGATCCCTTTGTCTATTAATCGAAAGTTGGGGTTAACTGAATTAAGGGCTGCTAACATTATACTGCAATTGGCAGATAGGACAATCAAGTATCCTATAGGAATATTAGAAGATGTGCTCATAAAAATTGAAAAATTGTTATACCTATCGATTTTGTTGTCCTAGATAAGGAGGAGGATATGAACATGCCTATAACATTAGGTAGACCATTTTTTACCATTGTCGGTACTTTAATTGATGTACAATAAGGTAAGCTGTTATTTAGAGTGAATGATGAAAATATAGCTTTTAATTTGTCCAATGAAAAGTGCATTCACTCTACTAACTCTAGCTCGGAGGATTCACAGGGTGCCATGGTTACTCATGCGACGGAGCAAAAGGAAGAAAAAAGTACTTCTTACCGTCATGAGGAGTATGACCAAGGCATAAAGGGATCAAAGGAAACCATTTCTAACAAAGAAGTTGAGTATTTTCCTCCATTTCATATTGTGAAAAGTGATTCTTTGAGTGAATCTGAAAAAGGTAAGTATTTTCATCCATATATTGTTGATAAGCACTATTGTGATCAAACTAACAATCATCCTAGGCATTTGTTGTTGTTAGATACGGGGGAGCAATGTCTTGCTCATCATAAGGAAAGAGGATTTGGGAATTCTATCCCTTGGGGAGGATTTAGTCCCCCAATGTTTAATTGATAAGTTTGACAAACGAAGTCGAGCTCAACGACTTTAAACAAAGCGCTTGTTGAGAGACAATCCAATGTTTCCTTTAGTTTTAGTTTGCTTTTAGTGTGTTTTTGCGGGTTGGTTTGATTTTTATTTATTCAATGTGTTTCATTGGTTTTGTAGGAACTGCCAGTCTTGAAGGGTTATCTTTGAAGTTCACTTAGAGAGCTAAAGTTGAAATAAGGGAGCTTTAATCTTAGTTTCCGATCTTAAGTGCTTAAATTTCTCGTTTCATACATCGAACGATGCAGTTTTATGATTTTCAAGTGAGTTTTGGTGTTAACATGTTTATGTGTGTTCATGTACTCATTTGAGTTACATCTAGTGCCAAAAAGTGCATTTTTTGCACCAAAATGCAAAAATGACCCAACAACCTGAACCCTAGATTTGCAATCTAGATGTGTTTGATTAATTTTAAAGGATTAGATTGGATGTTTAGGGTATATTACACTTGTGCATGGTGGCGAAAGTGTGAAAAATTTCATCTCAAGTATAATTCGGAAATTGCAGAAAAAGGTAGTCAGAATTGAAAAATTGCAGTTTTTTTTTTTGAAATTGTTGCATAAAACAGATAAAACAGACGATCCGAGCTCGGATCCAAGGAGAATATCTCGGATCCGAGACCTTGGCTGAACTTCTGCCAACATGGATTCGAGACCATATGGATCCGAGGCCAAAACAAGCAGATCCAAACTCAGATTGGTCCTAATTCTTAAAAAAAGGGGGTCCTTTCTTTTATTTTCAAATTTCCTCTTCTTCTTCTCAGCCCGCCACTCCAAACCCTAACCCTCTTTTGCTCAATCTTCAATTTCAACCAATAATCTTCCAATCTTCCATAATAAAATCATCCTTCAACCTCTTTGATGATTAACCCTTACAAATTTTACTTCAAAAACATCAATTTAAGGGTTTTTAATCTTCGAAAAGAGAAAAGGGGTAGAACTGAAAATCACCAATTTAGGGTCGAATTTGTGCTTGTTTTTCCTTGCATTTGGCATCTTCAGCATCCTCTAGCACCACTCTACACATTTGAGGTAAGATTTCTCTTCTTTTTGTGGTATTTTAGACTTCCCAAATTCCTATTTCCTGCATTTTCTAACAAGTTTTTGGGATATTCATATTAGTTGTGATTTCTTGTCGTTTTTATGTTCTAGTATGCTTAAAAATGTCATGAAACTTGTTTTGGTGCTTAGTAATGAGATATTTGTGATTTTGGCGAAGATTTTTATTTTTCTCATTTATTAAACTAATGAAAATTGTCACAAATTGCTCGTGTTTTTCATGCTTTATTTGGATAAATTTGGATTGTTTACGTGTGCTAGAAGGGTGTAGTTTTATTTGGAAGATAACATGTGACAATTTGGATTAGCTTTGTTCAAAGTTATTGATTGGGGATACCATGATTTATATGTGAATTGTTAAGACCTTAGGCTATTAGAGCATGGTGCATTGATGTATGGATTTCAGGTGATTTTCGAGGCAAAAATTTTGTAGATTGTATTCTTTACAAGTTGATTATGCCTTGAGGGTATATTATATGAGTTGAAATCATTTGAATTCTCGAGTTTATAATTCAATTTGTGTTAATGTGAATGAGTTGGAATTGAAAAGGGGTGATTGGAGCAATGGTTTGATTTTGAAGATATTGCCTGTACTAAGTGTGCTTTTGTATGATTATATGAAATACTTTAGTCATTTATATAGGCACCATGGTTTGCACAAGAAAGGCTACTATTCGAGAGTCAACTCCTTCACCGAGTCATAAACAAACACCTGCTTCAGAGGAAGAGTCTTCTTCTCCTGAACCACCATCTTAGTCAAGATGCAAGCAAGCGTCAACAAGGCAAGAAGAAGCTCCTCCGGACTATGATACTACACGATTCACTTCTCTCGAGTATCAAGAGTGGTATGAGATGGGATTAGCAAAGGAGATTATCATTGAAATATATTTAGCTCCTGAGGTGACGATCACTACAAAGTGTCCACGGCATTTGGTCAATTGGATGGAAGAATATTCTTGAATTGCCGCTGCACTTTTATCCAACATTGGTAAGAGAGTTCTATGCTAATGTGGAGGATAAACAAGGCTATAGTGGTAATAAAATCATTTCTTGGGTCCGTGGGAAGAGACTGGTTATCAAACAAGAAACAATTGCTAAATTCATCAAGATTAAGGCTGAGGAGATTGATGTGAAGTTGAACAAAGAGTTTGATCCTTGGAAGGTTGAAGAAACTGTAGCACGACTCAAGGGTCAATATAGAGATTGAGAAAGTTCCAAGAAGAAGATAGTCTATGCAGATTCATTTGAAACTCGATACCGTCTGATAGTCTATCTATTTGTGTACAATGTGGTTCCTAAGAAAAGTGACAAACAGGAGCTTTGGAATTGTGATATCTATTTCTTGGATAAAATGTTGCACGAAGTTTGACCCCAACTAACTAGCATTTCATTGCCTAGTATTATCATCAATTATATGTGCACTACAGCTCTCATGCGACCTGGTGATTCTTGCTTTGGCTTTCCTCATCTCCTCTCCCTATCATTTGAAAAGTCCAGGTTAATGTTGGCGCCGACAAAATGATGTCCACCAAATCCATTGATGAAGTCACTATCACCTTACTGAAATCATTGGCTATTCCAATAGATTTTGGAGCTTCCTTGGTTCGAGACAGCGTTACTGGTGAAACTTCTACTTCTACTTAACCTCCTTCTCATCTTTAGCCTGACCCCAATGTTCAAGAACCGCGAGCTCTGCAATCTGGACCTACTTCTTTACCACTTCCACCGCCTCCCTCCAAGTCTAAATGGCTAGAAGTTTTAAATGCTATATGTTGTATGGAGACAAAGATAATGGAGAGAATTGACCAAAATGAGCGGCATATGATGGAGCGGTTAGAAAGGCATGACTGACATCTTCGTGTTTTGCAGGACCATTTCTGTATTCGCCATTCACCTGCGCCTAGTCCAACTCCGATTCCTGGCGAGGGTCAAGCTATATCCATTCCCGAACCAATAGGTGAAGATGAACTAAGAGACCCTAAAGAAGTATCTGTAGAAAGAGGACACGAAGAAATTTCCGGATTTGGCGGCCCTACGACCTAGATTTCTTTGTTTTTAAGTGTTTTTCTTTTGTTTAGTTCGAGTTTTCTTTGTCTTTAGTACCATTGTTTAGCATATTCCCCTTTTGCACCATACCCTATGTTGCATTTTAAGTTCATGATGTTTGTGTAGTCAACTTGGATCTCCACATTATTCTAGGGGAGTAATAGTTCCTTTTTTCCTCCCTTCACATTGAGGACAATGTGAATATTAAGTGTGGGGGAGGGGATTCATTGATTTGCTTGTTTTTGTGCTTATTAGTGCATGTTAGTATTTACTTTTTGTTGAGAGATATTGGAAATGATTGTGGATATGGTGATTATGCTAAATTCTTGTTGAAATGTGGGTTTACTGGCAGGGAGTTTTGTCTGTTTATAAGGGGAAACTCTGTCAAAATTTTTTCAAAATCTTTTCTAAAATTGCATTATGGCCCAAGAAATTGTTATAGATCGTCAAATTCCCCTAATTGTTGACTAAATTCAAATATGTTTTTGAAGAATTCATTTCTTCTATGACTTGTAATTAGTATTATATGATTATGATTAGTGCATTTTAGAAAGTATATTTAGTAAAGCGAGGACAATTATGCTTTTATTTCTATCTTTAATGAGATCTCTCCCTTTACTTTAATTTACAAATGGGTGATTGATATCATTTGTTGGTAATATTTTTTCATTTTCATGCTAAAAGAGGGATGGAATAAGTGAGTGGAATAACTTGTTTCTTCAAAAAAAATTAAAAATAAATTTACACCGTCGACTGAAGTACTGAGTAATGGGGAATTTGTATCTAAAAATATTGATTTTTGCGTAGAAGGTATTTGAGTCGAAAAGGTATGGAGAACTTGACGTGTAAGTGCTAAGTAACTGGGGGTTTTCACCTAAAAGTGTCGATCTTCAGGGCAAAAGGCATTTGCAACGTTTCAAGTGTTGGTATTTAGTATGAATGTGGGATTCCCTTGTTAGCAATATTTTGAGAAGAAAATGGATGTTAGAAAAAATTTTACCTTATGACGGTGTGAGTTGGTTATATGTGAAGACAAGTGAGGGCGAGTGATTGATTTTGAATGTGATTAAATTTATGTATAATTGTTTCCCCTATATTAAGTATTATGAGTATCAAGTGCATTTTGAAAAATGGCATAATGATTAACAGTTGAGTTGTGAGAATTGAATTCGATAAAGCATATGTTCTATTTGGCACTTAAATTGTTGATTAAGTGGTTAGTTGTATTGCTTGAGGATAAGCAATGATTCAAGTGTGGGGGAGTTTGATAAGTCAATATTTTACCTATATTTCATATGATCACATGCAAGTTTTGTCATGTTTTTAGGGGCTCATAGCTAGGTTTAAGCCCTTTTTGGTAGAAAATTGCTTCAAGTGTTACTTAGTAAACTAAATGTGCAAAATGAGTGGATTAATACATAAATATGTGATATTTTGTAGGTTATTAGTTAATCAAACACTTGCTTAAGTTGAAAAAGATGCAATGTACTTCTTGGAGGATAACATATAAGTGAAACAAGACGAGAAAGTTGCATGAAAAAGGAAGAGAAAGAAAGCTGAAAATAGGGGAGATGGATCCGAGCTCCGATCCATTTCCAGACTCACACATCCGAGACCTCGTCTGAGAATTTGGTGGAGTGGATCCAAGAGCAAGGGATCCGAGCTCGTATCCATATGATATAGGCCTCGGATTTTGATGCAAACAAGTGAAGGAAAATGGAAGAAAGCTAGATTCGAGCTCGGATCTGTGTAATACACCTCAGATCCAAGGGCTCAGATCTTTCTCTTTCCTCTACAATTTGTAGAACAACTTGTGTACATTTCACACTTAATTTTTGACTTTTGTTTCACAACAATTTTCTTCTGGAAAGCTGGCAAAGCATCTTGTACGTGACAACCCCACCTCCCTCTAAGGCGAACCAAAGGGTTCGGCAGACCGCCTGCCCAGCTCTCGCTGGGACTCACTTACTCACTACAGTTCTCAACTAAATTACAAGGTACAACTCACATAATACATCAAATTCTCCAAGAATTACATATCATAAGTGAAGCGGAAA